ATACTAGTGAGTCAACATGTTTGCTTTATCCATAGTAGATGCCAGATTCTCTTACTTTTGTGTCAGCCATTTCAGAGGGATGCTTAGCTGTTTATTCTGTGCGCTGTCTGATAACGCTCTGAAAATGAGGCTTGTGAAACTGAGATATTAAGAAAAAAAAATCTTGGAAGTTGTGGTGTTTTCTGTATCTGAAATCTTGCAGCTTTTTATACACATTCTTCAGTGAATCCTGAAAAACTTCCTGCAAATGAGTGACGGAACATCATGTAAATGGATGAGTCACCTGGGATGCTGAGCAGTTGGTTTGAGTGAGTAGAGGGCTGTCTAAATGGCACGATTAGCCAAGGAAGTCTGGGATAACAAAATGGTGCAGGAATACTTTGATGTGGTTAAATTGCTATAGCTTCTGAATAAACTGAATCATACTGTAGTGATGCAAGGAGGCGAAGAGGATGCATTTGGTGCAAGGTAGTTCAGATGCTTACCTCCCAAGAGAGACTGACTTCATAGCTTCTGTGGGATTTTCAGGATTTTGGATGAAAAGTGTGAGTTACAAGTCAAATAGATTACTGTTGTTCTGGTGTTGATGGTTGATTACATACATGATATTTCAAGCTTTTGAAATGTACATATGCATGCTGTTGCAACAGCTGCTACTATCTTAGCTAGGAAATACACAATCTGAAATTGGTTGTTTGGAAAAGGCAGGTTGTGCTTGAAATAAATGGACATAGTTCTTGATTCTACAGAGATACTGGAGGTTGTTATAGAAAACTGTTTATTGTTGTGTTCTTACTAAAAAAGAAAAAAACCCCAAGATTTTAGTGCATTTTGCATCCATGAAACTCCTGTTTCTCTTGAGACTTCTGGTGTAACACATTTGGTTCGTCACATTATAGATAGTGAAAATATGCAGCAGAAAACTTCAAACTGAGGCTACTTACATAGATACCTATGAGGCCTTGCTATTTAGCATGGTTTCCTGTGATGCCATCATCATTAAGACAAATGACTATATTTAGTAAATACTTGGTTAGCACTAGCATTTTTGACAGATTGTACTCCTGACCGTGTCTCCTCCTCTGCTGTAATGCTAGAGTGGTATTAAGGATTCATAATAAATCCAATATATGAGTTAAATCTTTCTCACAATTTCCTTTGCTTTGAAGTTTAAAATTCTTTGCTCTAAAACTTTATTTAATGCTTATAGCACAAAATTGCCTTTAAACACCTGCCTTCCTAGTGTTGATTGTTTCACACTCTAGTTGATTCCATTATCCTTCTTCTCTTTGTTATTGTGTCTCAATTTAGTTGGGGTTAAGTTTGTATCAGGTGGACACCTGGTAAAGAGATGCCAGCTGTACTGAAGTGGAATTCTTACTTTTGTTGGCATTTTTATGCTAAAAAGAGCTGTGCAGAAGCTCTCAAAAGAGGCCGGGACTCATATGGAGCTATAACTGACAGCGAGCGTAGGGAAGGTCAGTAGTGGTGCTTCTCATGTAAAAAAGCCTTTCGGAACTAGTGGCCTGAGAGGTCGTGAATTCATTTCAGTGCTATTTTTGTGGATGCTTTTGTAATGAATGATCAAAACTTATTACAGTAACAGAAATTCTCAAAGATTTCAGTTAGACTTGTGTAAATTAAACAATGTTAACTTCTAGTTAATAGGAAAAAAATTAGGAGAATTGCCTGGTTTGGAACTTTTCTGCTAAGTTCTGGTTCAGAACACTCAAGCTGTGAGTTGTCACATTTGTGTGTCTTCTAGCGGGAATGTGGACATAACTGCTATAAATACATTCCTTCTGTACACTTGGACAGGAGCTTCACTGATGCTGATAAAATTATGATTTCAGATTAATCCAGATTCTTATCTGGTGCCTTTGACTCTTGCTATAAAATAAGCAATAGATTTCCAGCTTAAAAAAAGAAATCTATTTTGTCAAGCTCATTTGACTTTATCACATGCTGTTGCGAAGTGATTAACAGTGCAATTTGCGATGGATGGAGAACGGTGTGGTGAAGAAGCCTGTTTTACAAATGGTGTTGCAGGTAGAAATTTGATGCTTGGATTTACAGGCTTTGCTTCAGATGGTTACTATGGTTATGTGATAAACCAGCAGGAAGTGACGCCTCCTTGGTGGTTACAAGGCGCAAGCATTTGGGAGGATGCAGACGCTCTCTTCTGTTAAGGCCTACGTTCCAGGCCACCCTGTGTGCACTGTTGCTGTCACTTAGCCCTTGGTTCATACTTTTCCGCATGTGGTTGAGAGATGCTCCTGAGCAGGTGATCTGTTCTGTGAACTTGTGCTCCATGGATTTAGTTTTTTACTTCAAGGCATTGCCTAATCTAGTCACAACTAGATAGTATTTGTGCTCAATGGATTTTATTCTGAAGAGGAGAGTCTAAGTAACCTTTTCCCATTTCTGTTCTAAAAGCCCCTGATACTTGAGTTCTCGCAGCAAGGTTTTGGTGGCAGTTGAAGTGATTGCTTTTAGCTGTTTGCTAGCCTTTATATTCTCTGGGGATGTAGACCAGAGTGAGCTTGCTTATTGTTTGAAGAGTTTCTTTGGAAGACTTTCTTCTGCCGAAGTCAAGGTGACCTGCCTGACTTTTGATACTTATGTGCTCTGACTTCAACCTGATTCATAACCACCTAAAGACGAGCATCTCTTCCAGTCTAGATTGAAATCATGGGTTAGTATAACTGAGAAATACTTTTGTCTTTGAATTCCTTGCATTGAATGCGGAATTTTAGCTATACTGATCAGTAGGCTTAATTAGAGCCTAGCATGTAGAGATTATTTTATGGCCTACTGGAGGAAAAGAGGTACTGCTCTGCTGTCATGGTTTTGCAGTTAAAAAACCCAAAAGTGTCAATTCGATGGGTAGTGCCTATAGTGAGGGTGCTGGAGGTGAACAGTTTTGCATCTGAAACACAGTGTACTAGCTTTGAGGTGTAATTCTTCTGGACTGGTTGTTTTCTAGAAACCTTGACTTACGTTGCCTTGACATACTGCTGACATGGGACAAAATAAAGGCCTACTTGCAAATTTGTAGAGATGATCTGAAAACAGAATTTAGGCAGATAAGGGAAGATACAGAAAAGGAAGATAGAGAAAAAATAATTTCACGCTTTAATTTTAAATGGCTGGTAGAAAACCTAGAAATATTTCCAACTTTCCCCCCCTCGTGGTCTTACCGCTGAGATGGAGAGAAACATCTCCTGATGTAAGCAGAACACAAATTCTGTGGCTATGAAACGTCCCAATGTAGGAAGGGTTTTTGTGGTATGAAGTATTGGACTGTAACTCAAGTTCACTTCCTTGCTTCATCCAAAAAAACCCCCTATAACCAAACCCAAAACCACAACTCTCTGAAATCCCAGCCTGTTGCCTGACTATTTCAGGCTACAATTTCTTGCCTGTGAAATAAAGATATTGGTGTTTTACTGGAATACTAGTATAATCTAGTGTTGCTGGGTATCACTGTGTTTGTAGCCAAAAGCAGCAAGTCCGGGCCTGCATGATTGCAACAAGCAGTGCAGAATTTGGGGAAAGGTGCTAAGTGCCTTTAAAGCTTTGGTTGCCAGCAAAGCTGCTTTGATCCTGGCAAAACATCAGTTATCTGAAATTAATGAAGATGGGTACTCTACACCTCTGTCTGTCATTAGAACAGGATATTATACTGTTGCCACATTTAAAATGAGATGCGCAACCATGTAATTCTGGCATATATCATTGAAGTGCTGCAGATTTGAAATGCTTGGCCTTTTTCCAGCTTGGTTGATGTAGCTAGTAAGACTCTTCCTGCACTCTTGATAGTCCTAAGGTAGTCCTGCTAAATAGCTGCTAAGTTTCTTTCTTTTAAATTAATCGTTGAGTTAACTCTCAGTGGTGAGAGAATTCCTGAGTACAGGTTGGGTTTCAAATGATTAATGAAGGGTTTCTTTTGTCTTTCAGGAGGAAGATGTTTTATTGCGATAAACAATGACAATGCATCCTTAGGAATGCTCTTTGTGGAGCATAAGAACTAGAAAATGTTTGTCTTGAGCAACTTTTAGATTTTTACAAGACGTGAAGCAGGGTATTAGTTGTGTTTTGAAACATCTTGTGAAACTCTTAAGACTCTGGAATTTTCCTGTAGAAATATAAAAAGGTTCATGGAGATTCACTCCTAGAATAGCTGGCGTTCTTTGTGTCTTCCATCTTTTGAATAGCAGTTACCTATCTGAACATAAAAGGAGAACACAATGACTGTCCTTTAAATATTTGTTTGGCTTTGAGAGTAGTATCTTTGCCTTCTAGCAAGCTGTGTGTGAATTTTCTGATTTCTAAGGTCATTATCATTAATCAGGCACTTCTTTCCTATCCTTGCTGTAATTTTATTCTGAGGCACTGCTTTTGTTGCGGTTACTGCCAAGACTGTTTTTAATACAACAGACCTTATTTTACAGCAACCCTGTAGAGTCCAGTTGTCAAAAGGAAACAAAAATAATTACTCAGTTTCTGTCAAATGTAATTTGAGAAAGCCCAGTCCTTCCCTGAGGTAAATCTAATTTAGGTTGCTGCATTTCATCTATGATTGGTTGCCTTGGTTTTCTTCACAATTAGAAGAGAAAATATGTTAGTGCTACCTTCTTAATAGCAAGCTAACCACAAAAGATCTGATTAGTTTCCTGTCTTATTTTGATCTGGTTCATAGGTTGTGACCTGGTCATTTTTATTAACTGAATTTGGTCTTTTATGACTTCCTTTTGTTTTTCGAGCAAAACGTCTATTCAAATCGAAGTTAATTTTTATGCAGTTAATTCCCTTATTTATCATCATAAAGCATCTAGTTTCTATTTTTAGATCACACTTGGAATAAATTACATGTTATGCAAATGAAGTGGTGGCTCTTTCTAAGCTTAAGCTGTTTTTTAATTTATCCTGTTTTTATGTTCTTTCTTGGAGGTACAGAAGTTAATTTCCATTATTTTAAAATCTTGTTTTTTTTAAAGATTGCGTATATATTGAAAGTCGCCGGCCGAATACCCCGTATTTCATCTGCAGCATTCAAGACTTCAAACTGGTAAGGAAAATTTTCACATATCCTCCTTTTCCCTGCCCCATTCTCCGGTGAGATGGCAATATTTCTTAGTCTGTATCTCTTCCTGTAGCTCCTTGCTCCTTCTGAGTAAATCTTTAGCTTCTGAATAGTAGCTGTTTTGCTATTAAGACAGTGATCTGTCCTTGGTATAGACTTAATTAACTGGGCTGTAGAGTTCAAATTGTGGTCTATGTAATTTTAACGTTTTGGAACCCACAGAAATATTAACTTTGAGTTGAGTGTTTTTGGGAAATTGTGGCTAGGAAAGTTAAGGTTTTGTTTTTGTTTTTTTTTTTTTTTTTTCCCTCCTGGGAAGTTAAATTTGGCTGTGCCTTTGCCTCTAGCTTTATATAGCACAGCTGTGTAAATGGAAGCATGTGGGCTGACTTGTGGTAGACTGTTTATCCCAGCTGATCGGTGGACTGACAGTTGAGGATGCAAAGAGAGACTAGACCAATATGACAAGTTTGATTTGGAAAAATACAACGTTTAAGAATGCTTTAGCACTTTATTCTTTAAAAATGAAAAGTCAGGGACCTGTGCAAGAACAAATTAGCTGGAGTTGTGGTTTGCCCCTTTTTGTCTGAATTTTTACGCTTAAAAGGTAAAACATGTTCATTCCCCATATGCTGTAGCTGCACAGAAAACCACTTGCTCCTTACGCAGTGCAGAGCAGGAAGCTGCTGCCGGTTGGACACAAAGGGCACCTGTGCTTGTTTTGGACTTTGCAGTGCTTTGGGTAGTGTAAGCGGGATGTTTGGAAAAGGTAACTGTTACTGATCGTCTTGCTGTTGTTGGTTTATGGAAGTTCTGAAAATGTAAAACTGTCCTTCTTATCAATGCATAGTCTACAGATGTAGATCACCCACTATCTGTTGCTATCAGAATGGATCTTCCTTTTCCAAGGTTTCTTATTCATGTCTTCCATTTTACTCCTTACAAGTTTATTTTGTGAAGCCACAAAATAAATGTTCTCCCAGTGAAGGAGAACATGTAGACCTTCTTCAATGTTGATGGCACTGCTTGGCACTTGTGAGTGCGGGCTCTCTTCTCTCTCCCCTACCCCTTTTTTTAAAAGGAGTTCTTGAATTTGTAGTTAACAGGTTCTAGCAATGGGTTAAGCCACAGTTGTACTGCTCTTGCGCATTAGCAGGTGCTTTTGTGTCTGACTAGAATTACAATGTGATAGTTGCCGTTGTGGGCAATAAGT